AAAAAAAAAAAAAAGAACACAGGAAAGGCACTTAACTCATTTGGGGATGGTCAGAGCAAACTTCCCAGACAGGCTGGTGGTGAGTTTGGCCTTGAAGGACCTCTACACAGGACTTCATGCACTGAGCCAACATAGGACAAGTGATACCACCCATCTCCTCCTGCAACACTCCACTCAGCACCTGTTCCACCCAAAGCACATCTGTTTATATCTAAACTTAGTACATACTTCTGAAGGCCTTGTCTAAATTTGTTTGGGGCTTGTCTACATCCTAATACAAGCACCTCAGGAAACTTAGGTTCTAATCTCTGTGGTTTTTAATTCCCCAGTCTGGCAACACAATACGGTTCCATGGGCATTGGGTAGGTGTTAGGTGAAAAAACAATCACCTACCATAGAGTAATCATTTAATTTGCTGGGTAATTTTCTACAACAAGTAAAATTACAATAACCCTCTTTTCTGGGTAAGTACATAAAAAGATAGCTCTTTTAAGCCAACCACTCAGTAAGGAGGCACATCATAGCTTTAAGGGAGGTAAAATCCCTGAATGAAATTCCCAGAATGTTAATAGATCCTAGGAAACCTAAAGGTTAATTGCACTAGGATTATGATTTATCAGTTTGTAATACAAAGACACATATAAGTCCTGCCATGCTAGCAGGCAAATGAGTTACTGGCCTTTGGAGCACACACAGGAAGGCAGAGCTACACTTCCCATATCTAGATCCTTCCAAAGACTCCAATGAAGTCTCAGAGGAGCCAGAAGCTAAAATCCACAGAATTTAGAAACAGATCTGAGTGGAGAGAAAGAAATGGGGAGCAGTATCACTAACCACATTCTAACTCTTCTAAAATGGACTAAGACGGTGTAAGAATTCTAAAAATGTTCTGTGCAGAGAACAGCGACCACATGTGGAGCCAGGTATGTGGGAAAGCAAGCCACCGCTTTCAGGCGCCCGCTGTGGGCAGCAGAATCGCTATCTGCACTGCCCTCTGGTGGGCAGTTGACTATTGATTTTCACATCAATTTTTTTAAACAGTAACTTTTCCAGAAAGGCCTTGTTTCCACTTTGTCTTGTTTCCTTCCTGTTGAATATATAAACACTCTAAGTATGTATATCCTTAAACTTTGTTAAATTTAATAGTATGCTTCAAAATGGATCTCTGCATTTTGGGGATTAAAATTTTCTCTGAAATATGGCTGGGCATGATAGCTCATGCCAACGCTTTGGAAGGGCAAGTTGGGAGGATCACTTGAGGCCAGGAGTTCAAGACCAGCTTGGGCAACATAGGGAGACCCTGTCTCTACAAAAAAAATTTTAAAAATTAGCTGGGCGTGGTGGCATGTGCCCATAATCCCAGTTAGTCAAGAGGCTGAGGTGGGAGGATCACTTGAGCCCAGGAGTTCGAGTCTGCAGTGAGCTATGATGACACCACTGCACTCCAGCCAAAGCAACAGAGAGAGATTCTGTCAAAAAAAATAAAAATAAATCCCTGAAATATCTTTCCATTAAATCCTTTTCTACTGCTGATTTTGCAATTTTTTATTTTGAAAAATTTTGAAACCTACTGTAAGATAATAGAATACAATGAATACCTATATACTCTTCATCTAGATTCACTAACTGTTAATATTTTGTTGCATTTGTTTTCTCCCTCTCTCCTGGTAAGAGCTTTCTTCCTCTGAACCTTGGGAAATGAGTTGCAGGTATCATATCACCCCTAGCAATCTCTATTTTTATTTCCTTAAAACAAAGGCATCCTTCTACATAATCATACCATTGATATAATATTATCTATATGAAATCCACATTCAAACTTTCCCAAGTGTCCTCATAATATCCACTATAGCTGGCTTTTTAAAAACCAGAATCTTATGAAGGATCCTACACTGCATTTGGCTATCACGTCTTTTTACATATCTTTTGATATAAAATAATTCCCCGATTTTACCTTTGATGACCTCAGTGTTTTTAAAGAGCCCACATTTTCTACTAACTTTCTCAGTTTTCTATTGATGTCATTCAGTTGACCATTTACTAGTGAATGCCTCATATGTATTAGGCACTATACTAGATGCCTGAGGGAAAAGATAAATTGAAGATGTATCTTGCAGCTATAACTTACTGGTAGATTGGACTGGAAAAGGGAGTAACAGATCCAATTACTTTCGACTGAGCAACTAGCTAGATGGTGGTGCCACTTACTGATGTGGGGATGACTGGAGAAGAAACAGGTTTGAGGGAAAACCAAGAGTTCCATTCACAACATGCCCTGAGATCAAGTGGGAACTGTATATATGAATCTGGAGCTCAGAGGAGAGATCTCGGTGGGTGCCATCAGTACATATACAACATTTAAAGCCATGGTACTCGGTTAAACCTACGAGGCCAAGTGAGAATAGTGATGAGAGCCCAAAAAAACTAGCCTGAGGAACTCCATTATTTAAAGGCTGCATATGGAAAGGGAACCAGCTGAAAAGACTGAGTGGAATGGTCAGTGAATGGCAAAACCCCAACACAGGGTGGACTTCTCAAAGCAATGGGAGGAGACCATCTGGAACAGGAGGAAGCAGTCACATTCATACCAAATGCTGCTGAGAAGTCAAGTAAGACAGGACAGAGAAGTGCCCAGAGCATCTGACAACAGGAGCTTGTGAGCGGCCTTGCTGTGGGCAGTCTCGGTGATAGGATGGGGGCAAAATCCATAACAGAGCTGGCTGAAGAGCAAATG